GAGCAGCAGATCAGCATATTATACTGATTTCTGAAGATCATGTGACACTGAAGACTGGAGGAATGATGCTGAAAATACAGCTGCGCATCACAGAAATACATTACAGTTTAACACAGATTCACATAGAACACAGTTATTTTAAATTATAATAATATTTCGCAATATTACAGTAATATTGACTCATGAAAAAAAAAGAAACCAATGTGAAACACCACAAACAGACGTTGAGGGAAACAAGAAACATGACAATAGTAGCAATCAATTAATAATTTAAAAGAAATACAACTTAAAGATAAGGTTGTAAATTATTAGAATTTGTATTATCCTTTTTTACAATGGATTCACTGTTTCATCGACATCTTCAAAGAATCTGACATGCTTAATTCACATACGCTCTTATATTTACTCCCCATCAGGAGTTTCTGAAGCAGGGCGAGCCGACGTCAGCACGCTGTGATGAGCTGGAGTCGCTCAGAAAGAGAGGCTGCGACAAGATCGAGAACCCTCACGGGAGCCAAAGGATCCTCAAGAACAAAGCCGTGACCAACCGCAAGAAAGGAGCAGAGAAACTCCGACCCGAGGACATTACACAGATCCAGCCTCAGAAACTCAGCCTCAACCTCAGAGCTGGTGCCGACTCACAATCTGAAATCCTTGTTGGTTTTTATTGATCTGTGCAAGTAACTAAAGGAATATTAATGCTTTATTTTTTTATTTTTTTGTGAATGAATTGTTCCTGTAGGGGAACCTCAGAATATCATACTGAGGTTCAAGAGGGCAGAGGACTATCCCATAGACCTGTACTACCTGATGGACCTGTCCTACTCCATGAAGGATGACTTGGAGAACGTCAAGAACCTAGGGACTAGTCTGATGAAGGAAATGTCCAAGATCACCTCAGATTTCAGAATAGGTGAGAGTCTAATAAAATCAAAACAAAACCCTCCTGTAGTTTTGCGTGAAACATTGTCTCCGTTATATACTTGTTTTAAACATGTAATAGCATTGTAATATATGTGAAGCATATATGTTTAATAAGTTTATCATATCTGTCAAGGATACATTTTATATAAAATGTATGAATGGTAATGTGTTAAAATTATTTACTTTTAAATATATGCATCTCAAATTACAAATGTCATGTGTCAAACTGCATGTTCATTTTCAATACAGCTTTCCATAAAAATGTCTTTCTATATATATATATACACACACGACGGTTCGGTTCGGTACAGTTTTGGTACAGCAGGGGGGAAAACTAAACATAATACATTTTACATAATACAGTTATAATTACATTTTTTTAGGGATAAAAATCTACCTCGGCTTATGCTCTAAACTATAGTGAGCCCTTTTACATTAGGCCTACTATAAGGTTACAGTTAACAACAGAGCCCAAACTTAAATTGAATTACTATTTATTTTTTTAAATAGAACAAGCAACTTTAAAAAAAATGTATGCAAACATTGCAAATTGCACATAATGCAGTTTTTAAACTAACCTCTAAATTATAAAATTTCTAAATGAAATGCAAAGTGACGTTTTATTTAAAACCTGTTTTATTGGCATCTTTCCGCGGTTGAAACACTGATTGAGCGATTACATGAGGCGTGAGATGTTCATTCATGTTTATTTCACATTAAAACTAGTAGTAAAGAGGAAGAGATGATCGTGCTGCCGCTTGAACTGAGAGGCGTTCATTAAAGCTAAGATGCTGCTTTGCTTACCTTCGGATAGGTTTCGGCTCTTTCGTGGAGAAGACGGTGATGCCGTATATCAGCACGACTCCAGCCAAGCTCCTGAACCCCTGCACAGGGGACCAAAACTGCACCAGCCCCTTCAGCTACAAGAACGTGCTGAAACTCACCAGCAACGGGCAGCAGTTCAACAGTCTGGTGGGACAACAGCAGATATCTGGCAACCTGGACTCACCTGAGGGGGGGTTTGATGCCATCATGCAAGTGGCAGTCTGTGGAGTGAGTGAAAAACAACATTACTGATTATTGACTGTGCACTGAGAATATGTGCGGGTCATTCCTGAAATGTGACCCTGGAGCACAAAACCAGTCATAAGGGTAAATGTTTAGAAATTGAGATTTATACATCATAAAGCTGAATAAATAAGCTTTCCATTGATGTATGGTTTGTTAGGATCGGACAATATTTGAAAATCTGGAATCTGAGGGTGCAAAAAATCTAAATATTGAGAAAATCATCTTTAAAGTTGTTCAAATGAAGTTCTTAGCAATGCATATTACTAATCAAACATTAAGTTTTGATATATTTACGGTAGGAGATTTACAAAATATCTTCATGGAACATGATCTTTACTTAATATCCTAATGATTTTTGGCATAAAAGAGAAATGTATAATTGTGACCCATACAATGTATTGTTGGCTATTGCTACAAATATCCCCCAGCGACTTAACACTGCTTCTGTGCTGCAGGGTCACATTTGTGGTGCCTCTTGCCATAAAATGCTGAACAATATGATTTTTAAATCATGCAGAGTATTTAACTTTCTTAAGTAATGTTTTACTTATTATTTTCTATCAAAAATCAAGTTCAGGCCAAAGTAATCCACTCTGTTATTATTTTGTCCAAGCATTTTTTTATGATATTTTCTTAATGTCAATAAAACAAAATTAAAACAAAAAAAATTAGGCCTATATATATATATATATATAATTAACAGGGTGGACATTTTTGATCTTCAATTTCAAAGATTTTGTTTTACAAATGCTTACATTTATGGAAGCTTGTTTCCACCATGAAAAAAAAAAAAGTGATTTCAGTAATGGCTTCTTATCTCACAATTCATACTTTCTTGCGATTGCTAGTTTATTTCTCACAGTTTGGACTTTTCTTCTCAGAATTGTGAGTTTATATCTCGCAGTTGAAACTTAGACACTTGTAATTGCGAGCTAACATCTCACAATTCTGGCTTTGTTCTCTGAATTTTGAGTTTATATCTCAAAATTTCAATTTATAAACACAGTTCTGAGTTAACATCTCGCAATTCTGACTTATTTTCTTAGAACTGCGACTCGGCATCTCGCAATTTCGACTTAAAAACGTGCAATTGTGCATTTATATCTCACAAATCACAAAACAGAAAAAAAAGTGAAAAAAACATTTTGAGATATAAACTCCCAATTGCGAGAAATAAAGTCACAATTCTGAGAAAAAGCCAGAATTTTAAGATATAAACTCGCAATTAACTTGTTTATTTTGTTATCCCGTGGTGGAAACGTGCTTCCGTATTTATGTGCCTGAGCTTGGCCAAAATCATTTTTCAAATGTTTTACATCTCTCTGTCATAATTATACAAAGGTATTTTAAAAACTGCATTTGATTTTCTACATTTTATGTAAATAAGACCCATGTTCTTATTTGGTTATTTTCAGACTATATTTATAAGTGGAAAAATGGAAATGCTACAGTAATATGGCCATTTGTGTCCTCAATCTGTTTTTGTACTTTCAGCTCACTCTTTGTCTCTTCCTGTTGTTTTTTTCTCTTCTCTCTCAGGATCACATCGGCTGGAGAAACGTCACTCGTTTGTTGGTGTTCTCAACAGACGCAGGTTTCCATTTTGCCGGCGATGGCAAACTAGGTGGAATCGTGCTTCCCAATGATGGGAAATGCCACTTGGAAAACAACGTGTACACCATGAGCCATTATTACGTGCGTATAAGACATCTCCAGATGATTTTCAGAGCAGACTATTGGATGTTTGACAGATTCAACAGAGCTTTTCATTTCCTTTCCTGACTAGGATTACCCATCCATCGCCCACCTGGTTCAGAAACTGAGTGAAAACAACATCCAGACCATCTTTGCAGTTACAGAGGAGTTTCAGCCTGTTTACAAAGTAGGAAAACTTATATTTTTCTCTGTCTAGAGCCGGTAGTTTCTTGCACTTCCCCGGATTGAAGCCAGCTTTTGATTTGTAAAAGTTTCCACCTGGCCTGTAGTCTTTTTCCACACTAGTCAAAACTTAGGAAACTTTATAGTGCTTGCTGGATTTAAACAAATCACAAACGCTAAGTATTAAATGTAAGCACATAACATGTTGTTGCTTTATGAATGATTCCTCAATTCATCCCATATGGCAAAAAATATATTTTTATATATATTTCAAAATATACAAAACATGGCCAAATAATCTACGTTTGCTAAAATATGTTTCATAATATATTTATGTAAATATATTTTCTGCCAATATATTATATGTATATATATGAGTATATTTGGCCACATTTGATGATAAACTTGATATGATGTCTGTAACGCGCGTGAACATATAACACATTTAAATAAAAATCAACAAGGAACAGACTTTGCAATGTTCCAAAAATACAATATTACAACATTTAAAAATGAAACGTTGTTAAATCATTATAAATCCATTTTGACCTCTAGTAGGCTATTCCATCCATATTTGCCTTTTGCCTAAATGTAGGCTTCTGTCAAACTGGAAATGTATTTTCTTGCACCTGAAATATATCTTAAAATATATTTTGGTATATGAAGGTTTCAGTTTCAAAAATATATTTAATTGAGCTTCACTGTGTGTATATTTAGCATATATTTAAAACTTTTTTTTGCTGTATGGGATGTGGCCTGTTGAGGAGAGATATGCTATTACTTTTCTAAGTGATCAGACTTATAATATTCACCTGCTGAGTGATAAAACAGGCAACAAAATCCCATAGACTTGCATTGAAAGAGCCATAGCTGGAGACCGTGTGTTACAAATGGATGAACTGTAATATGAAATTCCATATCAAATATTTCACCACTGCGAGACTAAAACTCTCAGGCATCTGCACAGTTTGAATCCAGCTTCTCTGTATTTGGAAAGCCACAAATAGTTTCCCAGCTTGGAATGATCCGAACGCCAAGGTCATAATTTACAGTTCCTGCCTGCAGTTTAAGAGGACTGTTGTAAAGCAAACACCCTGCGTCCCTGTGCTGAAGATCCATGAATCCTATGATTTTTCTCTCTTTCCACAGGAACTTCAAAACCTGATCCCAAAGTCTGCAGTCGGGACGCTTTCAGCAAACTCCAGCAATGTTATCAATCTTATTGTTGATGCCTACAATGTGAGCCGATTAAGTTTCTTTAGAAATATCTGCCGTCTTTAAAGGAACTGGGCTGATTTCTGTTTTCTCTCAGTCTCTTTCTTCAGAGGTGATCCTTGAGAACAGTAAGCTTCCTGAAGGAGTGACCATCACCTATCAGTCGCGCTGTAAGAACGGAGTGGTGAATGAGGGAGAGAACGGAAGAAAGTGCTCTAACATCTCCATCGGAGACGAGGTGAGGCCACATAGACACAAAGCAATATGCATCATCCGTCGCGTCATCCACAGCAGAAACCGCAAGCCTGTTGTTTTCTATTTCCAATGCATTCCCAGGTATCATTCAACATTAATATCACGGCTCAAGGCTGCCCCAAACAAGGCAAACCTGAAAGCATTAAGATCAAGCCCCTGGGCTTCACTGAGGAGGTGGAGATCTTGCTCAACTTCATCTGCGAGTGTGAATGTCACAAGCACGGCATCAAGAACAGTGACATGTGTCATAACGGCAACGGCACGTTTGAGTGTGGAGCCTGCAGGTGAGACTGTCCTCACATAACAGTCCTGCGTTTGCTTATATAAATGCATGTCTTTGTTTAATTGTTAAATAACATGTTAAAATGAATGCAGTTAACGCACCTGCCCTGCCCCTTACATACGTCATCTTACATTTCAATAAGGTGTGTTCAACTTGAAGCAGCGCTGCGCAGATCAATCAGTGTTTGACATCAAAGGACCGCGAGAGCGATACTTTGATTCGCAGTCCTTTGATGCCCCTGTATGAGTTTTTGTCTCATATTTATATCATATGATATAGTTAAGTACGGTGGCAGAGAAGTGCAAAGCAAATCACAATTCTGAAAACAAAATAACAAATTACAAACGCAAATGCAAGTCTAAAAAACAAAATAACAATTCAGAAAGCACAACAACAATTCAGAAAACATTATGACAAGTAAGAAAACACAACGACAAATCAGACAAACCGGAAGAGGTAGGTATAGTTTGAGACAGCGCCATTGGTTTGGCATTACTCACCGCTGACTGGACGAGACATCTGTCAATCAAAAAATACGGAGTGTCTATTTACATTTAGTTAAAAGTGGCTGCAAACCATCAGCTCCAGTGATGCAGATGGATAAGCGCTTGTCCTTGCCTTTTTGACGAGATCGACCCGGGTTCGATCCCATCTTTTGCCGAACTTTTTTTTCTCCCTTTTCAAATCTCGTATCACATCGTAAAGGCATTTATTTTCAATAAAAATTAAGGAAATAATCAAAAAGTTGAAAATAAAGTATCGGGTAGGGTTAGGGTAGGTGTAGGGAGGGCTTTATTGTACCAATAAGGTGGCATCCATTTAATAATTAAAATTATCATTTACACTCAATACGTTATTATTGCATACTGTTTTATAATGTACTACAATACTGAAGTGCAGATAATTGCCGCTACTTGCAACAAATAGTATACTTGATAGTAGAAACCCTGCTATTTTAACAGTGTAACTAGGTATTTGCACTTAGTGTAAATAGCATATTGCTAAAAATAGTGATTTGCGATTTGCTTTGCACTTCACGGCCACCATAGTTAAGCAATATCGGCACGAGTGCAAATGTGATTTTATAAAACAATTCAATAAATGAGACCTTAATATTGTGTTATTCTAGGCACAATATTGTCTGTTTTTGCTCAGTTTTGCCAATGCAAATAGTATCTATAAAGCCACAGCAGAACTATTGTGCGTCTCTGAGCAACACACAATGTCTGAATGAAACTGCGTTTTGAACGAATCGGGTGAACCATCGATTCAATGGCCCTTTCATAACGAGAGCCATTTACTTCATTCCTGAATGAATCAACCGTTTGAATGAATGAATGGTTTTTATTTTATTATTATTAAAGGGATAGTTCACCCAAAAATGAAAAAAGGTATCTATTTCATGCTTTTCTAACACAATAATGGCTTTAAATGATCTTTCCTGGGTATGATCTTTCTCAGCCCAATTTAATGTGCCGATTAACTAGATGTAATTTAACTAGAACAATTTAATATGCAATTAACTAGATTAATCGCCACATTGTGTAATTAACTAGATTAAAATGTGTAATCAATTGAGCCCTGATATACATATATAGTGCTGGTTAAATTACTTACAAATTGTTCCGTATTGATATAAAAAAAAGCAAAGCGAAAGAAAATATATTCATTTTTTTATATAAACATCAAAATCATATACAATATTATAATACCAAAATTTACTGTAATACTGTAAAAAAAATCTAGAATGCAATGATTTATCTAAATCAGCATACATTAAAGACAATATAATGTCAATGAAAACAATGTGACAATGCAAAACAAAAATAGTTTTTTACTTTATTTAGAATTGTTTTTATTGATTTTAGGGTTAAATATAATGCTGAATATTTAATGTAAATAATCTTTGTCAAAATAACTATTGGTATGTGAACTATTGTTACACTGAATGACAGTTTTCGTGGTTGTCTTCTGCAAATCATGGTACAAATGTATGATAGTCATAAACAGGACACATTCTAATGCAGAGAAGAAGAAAAAAATCTGTGTTAAACTTGAAAACCCCTTTTCTTCATAAACATGTAAGGGAGAGAGTTTATATGTGAGTAAATGTGAGCTGTGTCCTCTCAGGTGCAATAAGGGACGTGTGGGCAGGCAGTGTGAATGTCGAAAAGACGAGGTGTCCACCGAGGACCTGGACAAAAACTGCCGCAAGGACAACGGCACGGACATCTGCAGCAATAACGGCGAGTGCGTGTGTGGCACCTGCGAATGCAAGAAAAGAGACAATCCTGAAGAGCGCTACAGCGGCAAATTCTGCGAGTGTGACAACTTCAACTGCGACCGCTCCAATAATAAACTCTGCGGAGGTACTGGAACAGTTTTAGACCATGCATGTTACCAATGCATCACTCAACAGGCCATTAATAGAGGAAGACAGCAGACGGTTTATAATCAGCAGATGAAGGTTGTTAATGTGATGTTTTTCCTGCAGGACACGGCCGCTGTGAGTGCAGGGTGTGTATCTGTGACGCTAACTACACGGGAAGCGCGTGCGACTGCTCTCTCGACACCTCCACCTGCTTAGCCTCCAACAAGCAGATCTGTAACGGCAGAGGGAACTGTGAGTGCGGGACCTGCAGGTGCACCGACCCCAAGTTCCAGGGGCCCACCTGTGAGATCTGCCCCACCTGCCCCGGAGTCTGTACTGAGCACAAGTCAGTGGAAAACATGCACACATCTGTGTACACAATATATGACATATTAAACTACACTGAGTACACTGCTAAATGTGGTTCCTGTGGCTCAGTGGTAGAGCCTTGCGTTAGCAGTGCAAAAGGTCATGGGTTCAATTCCCAGGGCACACAAATGCTGGTAAAAAATGTATAGCCTGAATGCACTGTAAGTCGCTTCGGATAAAAGCATCTGCTGAATGCATAAATGTAAATGTATGGTGTGCATAGCTTAAGAATTTATTTTTTTCAAATTTAATATTCATATATATTTTTGTTTAAACCTTTAAATGCCAAAATATCTATATTTTCTATATTAGAAAATGTACTTCAAGGGATAAGAAAATACATTCCCAATCTTAAAATACATTTTGCAAAATGTTTTTATATATATATATATGTTGGACAATATATATTTACATTGAAAATATATTTTTAAAAATTCTAAGGAATTATAAGAAAGTAAGAAAACGTCAAAAATGTATTTAGTGCATGCATTTAAGACAATACAATGTATTGTTATTGTCAAATACAATTAATATAATGTCCCAATGCAAAAAAAAAAAACTAATTAAAAATACCGTTTCATATTTCATTTATGATTAGGGTTATATTTGACACTTAAATATTGTTTGATTTAAATAAAAATGTATCTGTTTGATGAATGGATGGACGGACGGACGGACGGATGGATGGATAGATAGATAGATAGATAGATAGATAGATAGATAGATAGATAGATAGATAAAAGCGTGACACTACTTGTCAAAGTTTGGAATAATTACGATTTTTTCAAATGAAAAAATATATTAATATACACTACTAGTCAAAATTTAGGAATAATAACTTTTTTTTCTTTTTTTGAATGTTGTTGAAAGAAGTCTCTTCTGCTCACCAAGGCTTCATTTATTTGATCAAAAATACAGTAAAAACTGTAATATTGTGAAATAATTTTACAATTTAATTTAACTGCTTTCCATGTTAATCTGTGTTAAACTGTAATGTATTTCTGTGATGCGCAGCTGTATTTTCAGCATCATTCCTCCAGTCTTCAGTGTCACATGATCTTCAGAAATCAGTATAATATGCTGATCTGCTGCTCGAAAAACATTTCTGATTATTATCAATGTTGAAAACAGTTATTTTAGTAGACAGAAAGAAAGAAAAGGAAATTGATACTTTTCATCACAGGAATCACAGCAATAAATTACATTGTATAATATATTCATATAGAAAACAGTTATTTTAAATTGTAATAATATTTCACAATATTACTGCTTTTACTGTATTTTTGATCAAATAAATGCAGCCTCGGTGAGCAGAAGAGACTTCTTTTCCAAACTTTTGACTGGCAGTGCATATTAATTTATTTCAACATCTATATTAGGGCTATATAGTGATGTTTTGGCCATTTTTTTGAATATTTTAAAATGTTTTTTTATATTTTTATTTCAGCCCTGTTTCTTTGCAGAATTTGTAAGCAATGCATTATTACCATTTATATATCTTTGCCTTTTTTCTGTGTGTAAAAACAAAAAAACATCCTAAGTAGGTTTCACAATGCACACTGACTAAACATGTTACCGTCTCTTCCTGGCTCAGGGAGTGTGTGCAGTGCCGGGCGTTTGGCACAGGAGAGAAGAAAGACACGTGTGAGAGAGACTGTAGCTACTTTAACCTCATCAAGGTGAAGGACAGAGATAAACTCCCTCAGCCGGTGCAGGCCTTCCCCCTCATGCACTGCAAGGAGAGAGACGCCAACGACTGCTGGTTCTACTACACCTACGCCGTCAACAACACGGAGAAGGAGGTGCATGTGGTGGATGCTTTAGGTGAGGCTTCGAATTAAAACAAAGAAGAGCCATGGTTTAAATACATGTTCCTTCAGTAGCATGAGTGTTTGTATGCTTTAATGTGTGCTTGGTTTGGCAGAGTGTCCGGCGGGTCCTGACATCATTCCCATCGTAGCGGGCGTGGTCACAGGCATCGTTCTGATTGGTCTAGCTCTGTCCTCCAGTCTTCAGTGTCACATGATCTTCAGAAATCAGTTTAATATGCTGATCTGCTGCTCGAGAAACATTTCTGATTATTATCAATGTTGAAAACAGTTATTTTAGTAGACAGAAAGAAAAAAGGAAATTGATACTTTTCATCACAGGAATCACAGCAATAAATTACATTGTATAATATATTCATATAGAAAACAGTTATTTTAAATTGTAATAATATTTCACAATATTACTGCTTTTACTGTATTTTTGATCAAATAAATGCAGCCTCGGTGAGCAGAAGAGACTTCTTTTCCAAACTTTTGACTGGCAGTGCATATTAATTTATTTCAACATCTATATTAGGGCTATATAGTGATGTTTTGGCCATTTTTTTGAATATTTTAAAATGTTTTTTTATATTTTTATTTCAGCCCTGTTTCTTTGCAGAATTTGTAAGCAATGCATTATTACCATTTATATATCTTTGCCTTTTTTCTGTGTGTAAAAACAAAAAAACATCCTAAGTAGGTTTCACAATGCACACTGACTAAACATGTTACCGTCTCTTCCTGGCTCAGGGAGTGTGTGCAGTGCCGGGCGTTTGGCACAGGAGAGAAGAAAGACACTTGTGAGAGAGACTGTAGCTACTTCAACCTCATCAAGGTGAAGGACAGAGATAAACTCCCTCAGCCGGTGCAGGCCTTCCCCCTCATGCACTGCAAGGAGAGAGACGCCAACGACTGCTGGTTCTACTACACCTACGCCGTCAACAACACGGAGAAGGAGGTGCATGTGGTGGATGCTTTAGGTGAGGCTTCGAATTAAAACAAAGAAGAGCCATGGTTTAAATACATGTTCCTTCAGTAGCATGAGTGTTTGTATGCTTTAATGTGTGCTTGGTTTGGCAGAGTGTCCGGCGGGTCCTGACATCATTCCCATCGTAGCGGGCGTGGTCACAGGCATCGTTCTGATTGGTCTAGCTCTGCTCCTGATCTGGAAGCTGCTCATGATCATTCACGACCGCCGCGAGTTCGCCAAGTTTGAGAAGGAGAAGATGAACGCCAAGTGGGACACGGTATGCCCGAGAAAAAACGCTTTTAAAACAGGATCAAGAAACGTTTGTGCTTTAAAACTTTAAGCTTTTGTTTTTAGTCTTTCCAAAATTCCAAGATTGTTTCATCAGAAGTGTCGTTTTCGTCATTATGAGCGCTCCGTTTTAGGAGAGCCGTCTGGATTTTAGGCCAGCTGTGGAACTAAAGGAAAGGCTTCTGGATTTTCAGGGCCTGGTTTTTCGGGGTGTTGCGGGCAGCTGTGGCCGGTCAGGATGATGCTCTGCTGCCCTCTGCTGGCTCACTTTCTGACCACATGCATCACCCTTGTGAAAAAGAAGTGTGCTGAATTGTACTCAATGTGCACTTGAAGTGTACTTCGGCTCTCAAAAGTATATTTTTTTAATTCTGTACTTGCAGATAATATAATTTTAATGAAATAAAAGGCCAGATAGAGACACTTTCAAGAATGTTTAACACACTTAAGTTCACTTTTTAAAAGTGCACTTAGTAATAATGCCAAATAATGCACATTTTAAATCATTGTTTTAATAATCTTATCATGCTTTGAAGAAATAGGCTTGATTTTAAAGAAGTACACTTATTTTGATTGTGTTGACTAGACTAGAGCATGTGAAGTGCTTGATTATAATTTTAACTGTAGTGTTATTCAACATTACATTTAAAGTTAATTTATATTAATTGTAGCAAATTACGACTGAGTAATTACACATATATTTAAATACATGACATACATGCTTCAATAGAAATGACATTAAAGTATTTTAGTTTACCATTAATGTTTGTGCACGTTAACCATATTTCAAAGACAGTAGAAATAATTATGAAATTACATATAAAGATGTACTCTTAAGTTCAGCTAATTGCGTTTAATATACATTTAAACTATAATACATTTTCATAATTGCAAATAACATTTGCAATTAAGTGTCTAAAAAAATGTTACATTCAGTTTAGTATATTCATTTAGTATTTAGTATATATATATTTCTTTTTCACAAGGGCATTCTTAAACAAGCACAGGTCAAAATCTGCTGATTCACAGGAAATGTGGTGTGACAGTATTGTAAGGCTGTAACAAGCTACTTATTCAGCTGTGTAACAGGTACATGAAACCTAAGTAGGATGTGTTTAGAGCAGAAAGTGCAACTTTATCAAAAAAGTCTTTATAACCAGTGTGATTTACTTAAATGTTATTTATTCTAATTTCTAAGATTCACAAAATTGTTAATTTCAGAATTAGCAAGCTAATCAACGTGAAATTAGACTTAAATACAATGTTTTAGTGGCAACTGATGGGATAAAAGACTCCATGGGTTTAACCTTGTTTTATACAAGTTTTTTTGTTTGTTTGTTTGTTTTTTTGCGTCTTCATTTATACTTCAAATGCATGCTTTGCCTCCTTTTTTTCCCTTCATGCTCATGAAATCTTCTTTCTATCTCTCTATGATCTCCATCCTTTTTCTCCATTTGTTGCCCATGATTTCAGCTCTTCTGTTGCTTCATCTGTGGTTGATCTGTTGTCTGTCCCTGTCCACTCTCAGACAGAGAATCCAATTTACAAGAGCCCTATTAATAAATTCAAGAACCCAAACTATGGACGTAAAGCTGTGGCTCTATAAGTTTGTATACCTCTCCTCTTTCTGCATGGCTTTTTTCTCTGAGTGTGTGTGTGTGTGCGTGTGTGTGTGTGTGTCTGTGTGAGTCTGTGTCTGTGTGAGTGTGAGTCTGTGTCGGTCTGTGTGAGTGTCTGTGTCAGTGTGAGTGTGAGTCTGTGAGTGTGTGTCTGTGTGTGTCTGTGTCTGTGTCTGTGTCAGTGTCAGTGTGAGTTGGTCTCTGTGTCTGTGTGAGTGTGAGTCAGTGTCAGTGTCAGTGTGAGTCTGTGTCAGTGTCAGTGTCAGTGTCAGTGTGAGTGTGAGTCTGTGACACTGACACATACTCACACTGACACTAACACTGACTCACACTGACACTGACACTGACACTGACACTGACACTGACACTGACACTGACACTGACACTGACACTGACACTGACACTGACACTGACACTGACACTGACACTGACACTGACACTGACACTGACACTGACACTGACACTGACACTGACACTGACACTGACACTGACACTGACACTGACACTGACACTGACACTGACACTGACACTGACACTGACACTGACACTGACACTGACACTGACACTGACACTGACACTGACACTGACACTGACACTGACACTGACACTGACACTGACACTGACACAGGCTCACACTGACACAGACAGTGTCAGTGTGAGTCTGTGTCAGTGTCAGTGTGAGTCTGTGTCTGTGTCAGTGTGAGTGTGAGTCTGTCTGTGTCTGTGTCAGTGTGAGTGTGAGTCTGTGTCTGTGTCTGTGTCAGTGTGAGTATGTGTCAGTGTCAGTGTGAGTCAGTGTTAGTGTCAGTGTGTGGAGTCTGTGTCAGTGTCAGTGTGAGTCAGTGTCAGTGTGAGTCTGTGTCAGTGTGAGTGTGAGTGTGAGTCAGTGTCAGTGTCAGTGTGAGTCTGTGTCTGTGTCTGTGTCTGTTTCTGTACCTGATTTTATTTTTACATCCTTGACGCATCAAATGATATATTTATGAAGTGAAGTGTTTAAGGTATAAATCACTGATTGACTACAGCATGAGCACCTTAATGAGTGTTTGACTTAATTAATTTTTCTGTATTATATATGAGTGTATATCTTATATATGAGTGATATAGCTGCATGTGTAGTTTTTTTATTTCTACCTTTTTTAATTCAAGGTTTATTGCACTTTCTTGGGGTGTAAATGCATTTAGATGACACGTTGAAGTTGAATTGTGCTGTATATTTGTTTCTTATTTTAAAAAATCAGATTTGTGTGTTTCACAGGGAGAGAACCCCATCTACAAGAGTGCCGTCACAACTGTGATCAACCCCAAATATGAAGGCAAATAATGGACGTGGGTATCACACACGTGAATGTTTGGGAAGGGATAGGTTTGCAGATATCCTCAGTTTTCCTTGAAATTGTTTATTTTCTCATTGTATGTCATTCTTTTAGAACAGTATTGTAGCTTTGTAGTAGTATTTTATGACGGACTGGCTGCTTCTCATCCCTTGCAAATGTGTACAGTTTGTATAATCTTTTTATTTACATCAGTTGTTCTTCTTTAAACCCTGTGTACATTCACACATTCTCTCTTTTCAAACAGAACAGACATGTGTGCCTTTGCATCAAGTGTTTCACTTTAAGATACGGTGCAAAGGGATCCTTGAATCCCACCCAAAAATTGCAAAAACTCATCAAATGTAATTTAAAATCATCATATGAATTTTTGTTTATATTCTATCATGTTCTTTCTGCATTCAGACTTCTTCGTCAGTCATATGTTGGCATAAAAAATTATCTGACCAGTGTATATGCAATTTATTTTTTGCGCTAATGTAAGTTTGGTTTGATATGCTAATAATCTATGCATATTTGTTTACTGTCGAATGCATCCAAAAATCGTATTGTTGCTCTTAGAAAACCATTATGGCACTTGTCTTGTGTTCAGCTGAAAATATCTGTGTAGTTTATATGTTATGAAGGATTATTTGTTGAATTATTACTTGGCTCCTGATGACTATCAGTGTATTCAGGTGATATCCTGTAGTTTTTAGCCAAATGTTCTTAAACCGCTCATTAGAAATGAGCACAATTATCGATACCTGCAGATTTCAAATATGTTTTCAGCTAGTATATTTTATTAAAAAAAAGAAAAAAAAAGGAAGTGTAATATTTGAACAGTTGCGTATTTGTCAAAGATAAAGCTCTTTGTTGATAAGACAATAATCTGGAGAAAATGAAGAATTAGAGTAGTTTTGTGTTCAAATGTTGATATGCTCATAGGTACAACAACCCTTTATTTTTAATTATTTTACTGGAACGTAATCAGCAGGTTCAGTCATTTAAATCTACAGGAATGCTTGACACAATAATAAATATCAAGCTGAAGGATGATAAACAGATGGCCTGCCACAACACCCAATCTACTAGCTCTTTTCTAAGTGCCTTTTTCTGGTTTTCTCAATATTGCAATTTTGAATTTATTTATTAAAACAAAATCTAAAAGACTGTGATCGTGTCTTTCTTTCAAATGTAATAAACAAAAATATTTATGTTAGCATTTTTTTTAGGGTTACTGATACACATGCTTTTAACAATATCAAGAATCATAATCTTTGTGACATGTTTAAATAAACCAATACCTTTCTGAATTAAAATGTTACTTAACTGCTATTATTTTATTATTATTATTGCTTGTCTAATATAACTTCAGTATAGCATACTATACCATTTTTGCTATATGAAAGCTGTGCTTAGTTAATTTTTGTATATGAATAGAATAGCAGGATGACCTACAAGATGTAATAAAATTATAACTCTATATACACAACATTATTTCCCACATGTGCTCCGCTTTGCTTTTCCAGTGTTATGAATGGACCTGAGGAAATCAGCTGAAAATATCAATTTCATCTCTTTCCTGACTCATTATTTGGCTACATTACCAAAAGTTGACATTTTTGATTACAAATGTATTCATATTAATTCCTGAGATGATCACTCGAACAAAACAATGTAGCAAATTATCGTTCCATACTGTATGTCGTTTTACATATAAATACTTGTATTAAAGTAGTATATATATATATATAAGTACTCCATTCTGAGTGTAAATGAAGTGCAGAAAAACAGACATTGACCAACAGAGGGCAGCAGCAGATTATCATCCATCTGAGTTCATTCATAACTCACTAGATTATGACCACAGAACAGTGATTGACAGCTACATCCACAACACACACTAAGTTGTGTTTCAGGCCGTGTCCTCTGTTCATTTACAGATAAAATTGTGCTGGGAAGCAATTTCACATGTCGTCACGGTGGAAACCACAAGACAGGGAATTGATTAGCTTTATATTAGATACAGCCTCTTACTAATTGCACTAATCTTTAATGAGCCAGCACTGGCATGTCAGCAAGTTACTTTTTAATATATAAACGGATTGTTTGTTTTTTTCCTACCCATGCAAGCAAAATTAATTTTTGTGCGTTCAGCTGATGGCACACTCACGTACCTGCTGGAAAAAAAAAACTAAAACCAGCCTAAGCTGGTTGGCTGGTTTTAGCTGGTCATCCAGCCTGGTCATAGCTGGTTTAGCAGGCTGGTTTTAGAGGGGTTTTGGCCACTTCCTTAGCTGGTCAGGCTGAGAGACCTGCTGGAACAACCAGCTAAAACCAGCTTGACCAGCCGAGCTAGGCTGGGAGACCAGCTACTTGCATCTTAAACTAGCTAAGACCAGCCAACCAGCTTAGGCTGGTTTTAGCTGTATGTTTTGGGGGGGTTTCAGCAGGGGTGTAGAGGACAAGAGCCTCAAATGACTCAGCTGCAACAACAACCACATATTTACCATCCATCTCACTGAGTAACTGATTTCATCTTTGCCATTTCATGATCCGTTTGTTTGTACAGTAGTGATTTATATACTAACAATTGAAATAAATGATGATTATGGTAATCATGAGGGTGATTGCACGTCTGGCTCAAGATGTTCTTCGGTTCAGATGTTGATGGTTCTTACTATAAAGTGACCAGATTTCTGAAATGAAAACTAGTCGAGTGGTCAAAATATCATTGAAATCTCACTTGTGATCATCTACAAATTAAAAATCGGGGACAATGTATTTGTATATGTTTTTGTTTTTTAATTGTTTTGGTTTCCATAACTTAATATCATAATTAATAATTACAATGACGTTTAAGGATCAGACTTACCCTAGTTCATTGATAGGCCTACAATTCACCAAAAATCACACTATGAAAACTGAATAAGTAACTATTGCAAATAGTAAACAAATCAAAATAGGATTATAACAAAATGACTTTACAAAAACACATTAAAAATAAAACAACACATATGAGAACATATGATAAGTAAAACTGTATTTAACAAATATTTTTTAACATTTTCTGACTGTATTTAACATTTTCACAAACTGTGAGTATAAAGTAATTACAACTTTTCAAACGATCAAACGTTATTTTATGTTTATGTTTTTGGAAATGGATCTTTACTATCCCTAATCAGGCTTATTATTTTGCATTTCAGGCTCATTGTGACCACAAAGTATGTGCTTTCTGCAAACGTAATTGTGCAAGTGTAATTGTTTAGTTTGTTATTTTTTATATTAATCATATTCGGAGTTGTGATGGCAGAAGTTTCAGGAGTGTTTAATACTGTGTGCAAAACAATCCCACAACCTTATCATGCCTTGTTATAAAGTGCACACAAACAGTATTACTTTGTTTTAACATGTATAGTTAGTATGTGGCTCCCTTGAAACCAATAACGTCGTCTCTTTTGATAATTGATGATAATAGCGCTCTGCTCTCATGCAAGTTCTTTATGGTGAAAGTAATCGTTGTTTTCAACGCGCTGTTAAAACGGAGACATTTCTGAGGACAACTCCAGTCGGGGACAGGACACCTAAAACTGGGGAAAACAGGGGAAAACGGGGACGTCTGGTCATCTTACTAAGGATTTATTTAGGAGGAAAAAATCCATAAGTGTCATTAAGCTCATTGGTGTGAACAAGCAAGAGTCCTAGCTGCCATCTGGATGCTTGCCACAGAGCCTTAACCTTCCTGCATGGATAATGTTACTATTCACTGCACTACTTCGACCAAAGGAACATTCCTTTGTTTGCATATGTGTTACACTAGTCCCTTTCCCAATTCTTCATAGATGCAAAACAAATGAAAGTAAACATTTAATTTTAAATAAGTAGCCCTTTATTGAGTGTTTTTTAGCAGCAACATATTGCTTTCACAAAATGAAACCTTTACAAATCTCACGTAATCCTTGACGAACGTTATCTGGGATATCAAATAAAAGACTTTCAAATACTTTCAGATCATTTTGAGATTGTCAGTAATGCCCGTTAAAGTGCAAATGCCCATATTTTCCTAGTTATTTTGAACCAAGTTCAAACTCTTGAAATCAGTTTTCTTATATAATTAAATGAATTGTTCACCCAAAATGAATCTTATTCACCATGTTTAACTTACTTTCTTCTGTGGAGAAAGCAAGTAGCATATTATTAAAAGTTTTACATTTAACCATGTAATGGACGGACACTGGACGTAGACAACCAGCTAAAGAGCTTTTGTAGAAAACACAACATACTGTAAATCAACCCAAATAAACATAGTTCAGACACCTAGGAAACACAAGCTTACTGGTGACGTACAGTGACAATAATGCATCTTTTTCATGTGATAAATTTTATGCTATATGTCATGTAGTTTTTTTTTTATTACAAGAGCATGGTACAGCTCTGCAAGAAGCAACATTACACACCAGATGTGTCTCAAAACCTAACTGCCTTTGACATGCAACTGTCAAAAATGTGAGTGTTGCATCAGTCTGATGTGCAAAGCACTATTTGCATGACACATGTAACTGTTACTGATGTTGTTGGCTATAAATACCATCTTAAATCAGTTACAAGGTCAGGCTTAAGATGCTGTTTATTTGTCCGTTAATGTCAAATCTCACTCCTGTAGGGTCTCCATCCTGCAGTTTAGTTCCAACCTGCTCCAGCACACCTGTCCAGAACTCCCTAGTAATCCTGAAGACTTTATTAGATGGTTCAGGTGAGTTTAATTAGGTTCACAGCTAGACTCTGCAGGAAGATGGCCTTTTATGAGCAGGGTTTAACACCACTGACTTGCTCTAGAATTGCAGTATACAGCAAGTCGACTCACTAGGTCAGAGCTGTACAATCCTGCTTCTGGAGGGCTACATTTCAGCAGAGTATAGCTCCAACCCAAATTAAACACATCTGAACAAGTTAATCAACGCCTTTTGGATCACTAGAAACTTCTGGGCAGGTGTGTTGTACAGGACAGTGGTCCTCCAGGAGCAGAGTTTCACACCCAAGCCCAAAGTATACTTAGGCCATCCGCACACTGTCCTCGTGATGCAATTTTTGTCATCAGAAGTATACGAGGATGTCCGCGCAGTCACAAAAATCGGGCTGTACCCGGATGGTCTGCGTACAACAGTGCAGGCACAAGGTGAATGTTGAGACTGATCGAGTCAAGTAGGTGGTACTGTGCATGTGCCGAGCTCGTCCATTCGTTGTTGAGTATACTTTGAAAGCTGTGTGCGAGACGGAATGGAACATGGAAAGTGAAGTATACCTGTGGGGGCGTATTACAGAAAGATCCTAACTTTAAAAGCTTATCTTATCTGTTTGGTAACCATGGTAATTTCAGTTAGGACCACATTTTTTAGGACAAAAGCTATTACAGAACAGCGTATCCTAAGTGTGTTATCTTATCTTAACCACAGATAGGAAGGGGGTATTACAGAAATCCCAATCCTAAAAACTGTCTTAACTTCAGGACAACCCCACAGCTGTCCTAACTTCAAAATTATTTGAAAGCTAACGGAAAAACCGCTTACAGTTGCGCTGTCCAACAATGGTATTACATTTATTAATAAATGAAAATGAAGAACAGAAATGTTTAATGGTAGAAATACTCTTGGAGGACCCTGAAGATGTGTTACATTTTGATGACAAAACACTTATAAAGTAATAACAGACTGCCGCGCAACATGATATTACAGTTAGCACAGGAAATGCAACCAGCATTACAGAGACCAACAAAGTGTCACAGAGCATTACCGGTTATAATGCAAGTGACTAATGTCTTACACACCGTGTCTACATTGGACGAGCGTGGCGCGATAAAATACTATAGAACTCATTATAATCAGTGATGCTGTCTACACTGGGTGCGGCACGACACAGCAAATCCCCGACAGTAAACTGCTGCTGCATTCCATTTATGACGTGCTGACACAAATTTCAAATGATTTTGAACGGTTGCTTTGTTGCGTCCAGTGTAGACAGACTTTAGCTGTTGCGGCGCGACACGACAACTGTCGCGTCTGGTGTAGACACGGTGTTAAGTTTTTTTGCAAAAGGTGATTTTCAAAGTGAAGTAGCTTCTATTATTTTGTTTACCTCATCAGCAGCTTGTGCAGTCCTGCTCCTGGAGGGCCACCTTCCAGCAGACTTTAGCTCCAACCTGAATTAAACACATCTGAACAAGCTTATCGAGGTCATTAGTATCAATTCCTAGCAGGTGTGTTGGAACTAAACTCTGCAGAGCAGTGCTCCTCCAGGAGTATGGTTTGATACCCCTAAGTTGCCCCAGAGTTTCAGTAGGCAGGAGACCATTGTTCCCAAACAAGTTCAATGGAGACACAGTACACATGTTTGAACTCTTCCTAATCAAACACACCCGATTCAACTCATCAGCTCATTAATAGAGACTCCTATACCTGAAATGGATGGGTCAGATAAAGGAGACATCCAAAATGTGTACTGTTGGTGTGGCTCCAGAAACAGGGTTGGGAAACACTGCAATAGACAGTGAATTGATTCACTGGATCAGGGTGACCTATCCTCAAAACTGGAGGGTCCTGCAGAGTTTAGCCCCAATCCGAATTAAACATCCGAACAAACTAATCAAGGTCTTTAGGATTACTAGAAACTTCTGGGCAGGTGTGTTGGAGCTAAACTCTGCACAACAGTGATCCTGCAGGAGCAGGGTTTGACACCCTTGAGTTGAGAAGGAGACACAGTACACATTTTCAAACTCTTCATAATAAACACATCTGATTCAACTCATCAGCTTGTTAGTAGAGACTCCTAGACTTGACATGTATGAAACAGATAAGGGAGACATCCTAAATGTATACTGTTGGTGTGCCTCCAGGAACAGGGTTGGGAAACACTGAAGTAGACCGTGAATTGATTAACTAGGTAAAGAACGTCTAGTCCTGCTCCTGGAAGGCAACTGTCTTGCAGAGTTTAGCTCCAAGCCCAAATTAAACACAACTGAACCAGCTAATTTCAGTCAGGATTACTCTAAATGGATTGAGTACCCCTGCACTAGGTTTTGAGACACATCCACCTTGTTGCGTCTCATCAGGCAGTCATAGGAATGCAAAAAAGTATAAACATCTGTTTTTCAGAGGTCGACACCTCTGGCGTCCCCAACCTGTCCCCTCAGTACAAAGCAGGTATGGTGTGTTCAATTACACAGCGTCTGCAGTGCTTTCGGACCAATCGAAGTGCCTCAGGTGGCACCTCACACTCCTGTACGTTTAGTAACTGCAGCTTGGGACATCCCGCTGCTAGCGCCATGAGCCCTCTTCCTGTCAAACTCTCGCAGCCTCTCAGACTCAGCCTTCGTAGCCCTTCACAACAGCGTGCTAACACCTCCAACCCGGTGTCTGACACCAGCGGGCAACGGCCAACATCTATAGACCGCAATCGGGGGCAATTGCGAGCTAAGTGGCTCAAACCCTGGTCCGTCAACCCCTCGCATCCCCGTGCATTCAGGTAGCGGAGCCGTGGACAGTAGCGCGCTACATAACGCAGTCCAACATCTGTTATGCGCATACAGTGAGCCACACTCAGATAGCGTAGGCGGCCCTCCAGGCGAGCGACCTCACGTAAGCCAAAGTCTCCAATCAGAGGGCAGTCACTAAGGCTAAGCTCACGTAAAGTGGTGCAGTGCAGTGCTAGCTGTCGCAGGGCCTCGTCTGTTAGGTGGCTGCAACGTCGCAGGTAGAGGTGTGTGAGACGTGGACAATGAAAGGCAATGGTCCTCAAGCCTTTGTCCTCCAGTGATACACAGTCTGTCATGTCCAGGTATCGCAGGCCGATCTGCTGTCCATGTAGAGGTGTGAGCTGTAGAGACGCCTCCTCCGTCAGGCTGATACAGGTCACTTTAGGGCAGCCTTAGGGAAAGGGTGGGGATATTATCATTATTATAGTTTATGACTAGAAAAGTACAGTTCATAAGGACAAACTATGAATATCTGGTTAAGTCTGACCCCACGCATCACCGTTACCAGGTTCAAAAACTCTATGAGATCAAAAAAGCAAACAACAAAGGGTGCAAAGGTATAAACAAAGGTATAAAGTATTCTCAACTGGAATGGACTAGAGTCTTGGACCCTGAAACAGTATTCGCTATGTCACGACTTAAAGGAACACTCCACTATTTTTGAAAATAGGCTCATTTTCCAACTCCCCTAGAGTTAAACAGTTGACTTTTACTGTTTTCGAATCCATTCAGCCGATCTCTGGGTCTGGCGGTAGCACTTCTAGCTGTAGCTTAGCATAGATCATTGAATCTGATTAGACCGTTAGCATCAAGGAACTTTGCTGCCGTACCATGGGTGCAGCAGGCGCAATGATATTACACAGCACCTGAAAATAGTCCCCAGCACGCTCCCTGTGCAAGCAGGTGGTCACGTTGGTTATGTTGACGGAAGTTAGCCTATTTTCAGGCGCTGCGAAATCCGCAAATCATCTTGCAAGGAAAGGTGTCCTGAGTGGTTGCCAGGGGACTTGATAGGTGGTTGCTAAGTTGTTTTAGGTTCTAAGAAGTTATTAGCCAATTGCTATAGATTTCTGGGTGGCTGCTATGATGTTGGGTGGATGCTAAGGTGTTTCTAGGCAGTATCTGTTTTCGCTCCTATTACGGTTATACTACCTGCTTTTAAAATTAAACATAACCACCAGATATTTAGGATACTTTTGCAACAAAGGGCGTATTACTTGTGGAAAGCAGAATGCATGCTGTGCCCTCTGCATGATGAATAACTGTACAGTGTGTGACTCGTACAATGAACTCAGCAGACAGACTCTTACTCTTTGGTTGAGGTTAGCAGTCCATCTTTCAAAATCGAGCAGACCTCACCTTCCCCCAGAAAAAGACTGAAAGACTGGCAGCGATTCCTAGAGCTCATAATGTTTTTCCCAGCCTTCCCAGAAAAACTTCACCACTTTGAATTACTCCCTGAATAAATCCACAACCAAACATGGTATTCTGATGCTTAATGGCAGCTAATTCATCACAAGAGCTCTTGAAAATTATCAAGACGTAACATGTTTTACTCGTTGACCAGGTAATGGATGTGCCATGCCAATACATACATTTGCAGTCCACCTGTGGCACAATTCAAAATAGAAGTTTGAAAATCTTAAAAATCTCTACAACAATGCATGGTATAGTCGTAAATAATATCTCACCTCTAGAAGTATGAGATTTATTAAAAAATAAATAAATATGTATTGCAATTGGATGAATCTCATAAAGAAATCTTCAGAGGTCATATTTCACTCCAAAATCAAAAGATGAAAACAAATATAATTTGCATTAAGTTCCATGGATTTTTTGTTTGTTTGTTTGCTTGCACTGTGCCATTTTTCATTTCAGTTTTTACCTGAATACTCATTACCATAATGTAAATTCCCATAACCCAAAATTGAAACTAAAATAGGCTTCATTTTCTTATATAAAATATAATTTCTAAATTTCTCTTTTCAATTTCAGGAGTGAAATATTTTCTTTTATCACATGTTCTTGGCGGGTTTCATGAGATTCCCCCCAACACCTAAAGACAATAAAAAATATTAATTTGCATTAAAGTTGTCATGAACTGCCTTTTTTATTATTATTTTGTACTGTTCTCTGAGGTCCACTTATAACATTATGAAGATTTTTACGTCAAAAAACTTCATTCAGAAGTATGAGGCTATTTTCTGTCCTGCTTTGCTCCTCTCATCAGAATGCTAGACGTGGCGGATTGTAGACCCAGAAGTAAACACCACTGCTGTGATTGGCTAGCAGCTGTGTATGTTTGACAGCCTACCGCCTTCATAGATGGATGCTGCTGTGATTTAGGATAAAAAAACGCATAAATACACAGTACATATCAAATGATCTGTAATAACAGACAAAGCAATAGTGATCACGTAATAAAAAGAGTTACTCACACTTGTGTGGTGCGACATTACTGTCAGATCCAGTATAGTCGCACAGCATCGTCTTTTAGTTTCAGTCTTTCTGAAAATCCTGCTTTACAAATCTTGTTTGTAAATGAATCCACAGTAAAATGAATTGAACAAAAGACCAAGTTCTTACTGACAAGGTCTGGATCTTCATTAAAAATAAAGTTCATCCACTCTTTCCTAATGCTGGGCGGGGCTAAACAGACAGTGATGTGGAATCTAAAAAATAAATAAATATGTATTGCAATTGGATGAATCTCATAAAGAAATCTTCAGAGGTCATATTTCACTCCAAAATCAAAAGATGAAAACAAATATAATTTGCATTAAGTTCCATGGATTTTTTGTTTGTTTGTTTGCTTGCACTGTGCCATTTTTCATTTCAGTTTTTACCTGAATACTCATTACCATAATGTAAATTCCCATAACCCAAAATTGAAACTAAAATAGGCTTCATTTTCTTATATAAAATATAATTTCTAAATTTCTCTTTTCAATTTCAGGAGTGAAATATTTTCTTTTATCACATGTTCTTGGCGGGTTTCATGAGATTCCCCCCAACACCTAAAGACAATAAAAAATATTAATTTGCATTAAAGTTGTCATGAACTGCCTTTTTTATTATTATTTTGTACTGTTCTCTGAGGTCCACTTATAACATTATGAAGATTTTTACGTCAAAAAACTTCATTCAGAAGTATGAGGCTATTTTCTGTCCTGCTTTGCTCCTCTCATCAGAATGCTAGACGTGGCGGATTGTAGACCCAGAAGTAAACACCACTGCTGTGATTGGCTAGCAGCTGTGTATGTTTGACAGCCTACCGCCTTCATAGATGGATGCTGCTGTGATTTAGGATAAAAAAACGCATAAATACACAGTACATATCAAATGATCTGTAATAACAGACAAAGCAATAGTGATCACGTAATAAAAAGAGTTACTCACACTTGTGTGGTGCGACATTACTGTCAGATCCAGTATAGTCGCACAGCATCGTCTTTTAGTTTCAGTCTTTCTGAAAATCCTGCTTTACAAATCTTGTTTGTAAATGAATCCACAGTAAAATGAATTGAACAAAAGACCAAGTTCTTACTGACAAGGTCTGGATCTTCATTAAAAATAAAGTTCATCCACTCTTTCCTAATGCTGAGATCAGAAGAACGCCATAGAAAGACAACTTTTTTTCACAACTTGGCACTGAACACATCTTGTTGTCTTCTGAGCATCTTTATCGTTTGGTTTCTGCGTAGACCAGCGTTTGCCTCTCTCGTTATTTACACTACATGCGTGAATCGGTGGGCGGGGCTAACCAGACAGTGATGTAGAATCAGTGGGCGGGGCTAAACAAGCAGTGATGTGGAATCAGTGGGCGGGGCTAAACAGGCAGTGATGTGGAATCGGTGGGCGGGGCTAAACAGGCAGTGATGTGGAATCGGTGGGCGGAGCTAAACAGAGAATGATGTAGAATCGGTGGGCGGGGCTAAACTTCTGCGGAGGCGGAGTTTAGCCACACTATTACATCTTAAAGTGACACATTCCATAACCTGTCATTTTGGCAGATTGGCTTCAATATAAGCTTTGTAGACTAACAAGAAAGTTTTGAGTTCTGAAAATTACAGGATGTTTTTATAGTACAATGACCTCTTATGTCAGAAGATCGAGGGAAATTTGATTTCTCAATTCATGACCCCTTTAAGGAGTTGTTTTTTTTTCACCTGAATTCTCATTATCATAATGTAAATTCCCAGCTGAAAAGCCAAAGTTCCCACAACCCCTTTTCAAAACCATAATTATTTAACAATGCATATACAATACATATATATATATATACAGTGGGTACGGAAAGTATTCAGACCCCTTTACATTTTTCACTCTTTGTTAAATTGCAGCCATTTGCTAAAATCATTTAAGTTAATTCTTTTTCCTCATTAATGTACACACAGCACACCGCGACCGTCTCCAGGGTCAGACAGACGTTGGGAGTGTACTGACATAACCGATGTGTGAGCACTTTGAGGGCTCGGTCAGCGTTCAGCAGCTCTCCATTCAGACGAATGGTACTCCAGAGCCGCGGGTCCCAGGCCAGGTTATACCAGCGGTGACACACTCGAGCGCAGCGGCACAGCTGAGGGGTGGACAGGTAAGACAGGACGTGTAGTAAAACAGGATCGGGCAGGATATCAATGAGGGTGGTGGGAGGAACTTTGGAAGGCCGTGAGCGAGTGCCTGGAGGCGGGTGAACCAGGGCAACTGTTTCCCCAGTGACGTTAAAAGATGTGGAAGACGTTTCATGGCCGTTTGGGACTGTTTGAGGGGAGACACAGGAAGGGTTTGACTTCAGAATGAGGGCGGGACTGGGAGTGCTAAGCGTCCTCATGCTCAAGTCCGAATCTGAAAGAACAAGAAAAATCATAAATACTAGCCCCTCCCCCTCCGCTAGTGTACAAAGTGTCCAAAATTCAACACTTCTTTTTATTGGTTAAGTGCACTTTTCTTTATAGAGTTTTCAGTGTGAATGCACTACTCTCATTATTTATACTACAAAAAGGCATAGACTAGTGTGCAAGTACGCAAATAGGAAGACATGCCCCTCTTAATGTTGCTGCTTGTGATAAGCCACACATCATGTTCTCACGCAGTTAAAAATACATTGTGGAGCAAAGAGGACACTGACAACGTGCTGACAGACATGACAGAGTAGGTTACTTTTGATATGAATCGAAGTCTCAGCTTTCAAATTTTGTCTATACCATTTTGTGGCTCTTTAATGTGTCGTGACAGATCGCTTTAGCGGCTCAGTTCACGTGCCACATGAACCGATCATCTCGTCCTCTTTACCACTAGTAATAGCACAAAATAAACTTGAATTAACACGTTTCAACGTGGAAAGGTGTTAATACACACCATTTTTCAAGTTTAAGTCCACACAAATGTATCTACCAACTCTGTCTGGTTTGTTTATCAGACTAAATGGCAGATTCTGTGTAATGATTGGTCAGATGGCCTTTCAATCAAACTCCCGGCGAAAGGTGAATTATTTCAACTAGACATCAATGGGATTAAATGGAAAGCAAATGCATCTCAGATTTGAGAAAGTAAATTAGAAAAATAATGTAATTTACTAGAGAACCTGATTCTTGTTAGGAGATAATCTGATAACACATTAAATGTCTAGAAGCACAAAGGATCCCAAATATGGAAGCCATCAACTGGTTTGAGACACACGTTTAGCACAAATGGTGTTAACTCAAGAAACACTCTTGGCCTCTTTGTTCTCAAAACTGTTTCCGTTATTGGACGCTGATAAGTGTCAAGTTTATCTCAAATGCACTTGAAGTGCTTGCCACGGTTGAGTCTGCATTAATGGTGAAGCTTTCATTCTTTGCAGATGTTTCACTGATTTGGAAATGATCAAGAGGAAGACTGGGTGGTACGGTAGATAGCTTGAGAGTTCTCTGCTAGATCTCACCGTAACCGTAGATTGCGACTGGGACCCCTTGTCTTGTATTTTTATTTTCTATACGACATAAACTGGCTCGTAACTGGCTAAAAAAGGTTTAGCTCAAAATGTTGAAACAAGGCAATACCAACACCAAAGATGACAACATGATAAATATAATGAGGTCATGTGACAACAATATACTACTCTTCAAAGTGTTTGCTGCATCACATTTAAAGGGACAGTTCACCCAAACATTCTTTCTTTCTTCTGTTGAACACAAAAGATGATATTTTGAAGAATGTTAAACAGCATCCACTGATACTATGGAAGTCAATGGCTACCGTCAACTGTTTGGTTACCAACATTCTTCTGTGCTTTATACATTTTACAGAAATTTCGCTAATGTGACTATACCATAACGCATACTACTTTGTTTTAAATTCATTGTTTACTGAATATTACGCTTTATTCATTCCACATAGTTTCAAAGTGAGCACATATTATGAATAAATAAACAGCAATATCATTTGTTACATAAATTATAAATTATTATTATTTATTATTTAGTCATTTATTAGAGGCTTTTATCCAAAGCGACTTACAAATGAGCACAACAGAAGCAATCAATTGTAGTATTAAAACAACTAAAAACAGATCCCAAAACTAA